GAGTACAAGACCCCTCCTGTGCCCGTGCTGTACGAATGGGCAGGAACATCATCTGTCTCATCAAATTCCATTTGCTTGAGGCATCCTGAAAGCAACCGCAGTGCAAAGGAAGGTGCTTCTTGGGGCAGCTGTCAGGAGGAACTGGTCTGATACCAGCAGCAGATCCCATCTAGTAGCTGTGTCAAATAGCAGTTGCTAGATAAACCAGGGAAAAGAAAAAGGGAAAGCAGGCTCAGGAGAAAGGAGATACCTTAGACCAAGCACTGGCTGCTAAATGGGCAGGAAAGAGTTAATTGATTGAGACAGTGGTCTGTATGTGGAATTTCTGTCATTTTTGTTCAAATAACTGTCAATAACATATTTTTATATAATTTTTTTTCACAAAGAGGTGGCCCTTTCCACTGAAGATTTCCCAAATTGATGATTGTGTAGCACTCGTGTCAGAACGCTGCATCCAGTGACTCCTCGGTGTTTAGTGGGTTGGTGAGGACACGTAAGCCCAAGACTTTGGGTGAGGGGGTTGTGAGTGCGTGCTGCTGGCTGGCTTTTCCTGGCATCCTTCTGGTGGCTTTGGGACACAGACCAAAAATACTTCTTTTTGTTTTAAAGCTTTAATTATTTTCATGGAAATGTTGAAAAAAAAAAAAAAACCTTAGATCCCTCCCCAATTATTTTCATGGTCTGTTTAGTTAAATTCTCATCCGGCATCAGTTTGTGATCCAAGAACAATCTCTACAACACCCATGGATAGAACTTTGTAGGACTTTGCAGATCACAGAAGGTTTAAAACCGATTGCTGTAGGAGGTGATGTTTGTAACATGGTTTTCATGCTGCCGTAGAGGTTGGGAGGGATGAGGAAGGGTCTTTGCAGAGAGCTGGTCTCTGTCGCTGTGTGGATTGTATCGCTGGGCACCGGTGGCTGCTTGCTTGGGCTCTGTGAGGTTAGAGGCGCAGATGGGATTTTCTTTGGATATTTTCCTCCTGCCTTCCTGTGGCGCGAGTGCTTCAGCTCCCACTTCAGGAACAAACATCAGACTCCACTATCTGTAGTTTCAGGAACGTGGTCAGCACCAAGCTGTGCGTCGGGAGCCTGTCAAGGAATCTGAGGAGGGGAATTGTGCACCTGCCGAACCAAAAAGTAGTTGGACTTAGAATCATAGAATGGTCAAAGACTTGACAAAGTCTTTTGCAAATGAGGAGCTAAACCTGCTTTTGTCAGGGTGGTGGAGTAGGCCTGGGGGTTTTGGCTGTTAACATATATTCAGATCCTTGTTTTTGCAGGGTGAGATGGGCCATTTCAGAAATCTGGCCAAGGAAAAGTGGTAGCGTTTGAACCCCGTGTTCTCATTCCAGGTTTCCACCGAGAACCGCACCAGGTATGTCGATGCCATGGATGGGGTGGAGGGGGAGCTGTGCAGCATTGTGCTACGTGTCTAGGAGCGTCTGTTATATCAGGGGGTGCTGGGTGCCCCGTGCTAGAGATGACCCATGTAAATGGGCACCATTTGAAATCAAGAGGATGGTGATGTGTTCCCAAAAAGTGGTCTGAGCCGCGCTGGTCAAGCTTGCAGTAGTTTTCTGATGAGCTGGTGATTAGTGTTGGGAGAAGAGTGGGACATGTTTCACCATAAGCTCCTTGCACAGTGCTTCTGCAAAGCCGTGGGGCTGTGCTGTACCAGGCTCTTGCCTGTCACCGAGGGAAGGGGCTCAGGTGGGTGGTTTTCTTCTTTGCTAGAAGGAAGCTCTCATGTCTGCTGGAAAAAAACTGTATGTGGGGTCTGGGATAATTCTTGCTAGGTAACCAGTTATGTTACTGGTGATATTCCAGCAGCAGAATAATCAACAAAATACTTTTTTGTTAAAAAAAAAAATATTAATTCTAATCTGGTGATGGTGACCTACTTACGTCATCTAGTGTGTGATTCACATCACACCTCTTACAAAGCTGTTTTTATTTCCTTAGAAGGTTTTTTTGCCACCTTAGAAGTGGTGGCAAATCTCCCTGCAGCCATGGCCTCATTGCAGTCTGTCAGTGGGAAGAGGCTCTTTCCTTGCGTTCTGATGAATGCTGTAAAGGATTCATCCCAAAAACTGACTGAAAACAGCAGTACTTCCACCACACAGATAGTTTGCCACCTAGTTCTTCCTAGCCTGAGCCATTTGTTGTAGCAGGGAGATCTGCAAAGTGCAAAGAGAAACAGCAAGGAAAGGAGGTTGGCTTAGCAGGGAGGAGGGAGACACCTGAAATAACAAGAGGGCTCTTTTCAGCACTGCCTGGGGCTGTTGGCACTGGAAACCAACAGGAGATCTTGGGCAGAAGAGGTGAAATGACAGGAAGGGATCACTGGGGAGAAGCATGCGTGTGAGATGAGCATGTTGTGGGTGCTGTGGGCAGGGAAGTGCCGGCTGTAGAACCTGCATGTGTTCAGGAGCACGTAGGAAGGAAGCCCTGCTGCCTTGGGAGACAGGTGTGCAAAGACACCTGGACCCTGTCCTGAAAGGTTAGAGCTGAGCATCACCAGTGTTTTCCAGGCTGGGAGCTATGGAACTCTTCAAGGGATCCATGAATGGGAATGAAGGAAAATAAGTCAGTGCCTAGTGGAGGCAAATTTCCTGGGTGGATTTCAGAAACACCCTTGGAAGGAACTGAAGGGCGGCAAGGGACAGCTGGAAATGGGTAGTACCAGCCAGATTTCACAGTGCCATTTCTGAATGTTAGGTTTTCTAGCACGTTTAAGCTGTTGAAGACTGAATTTTGCTTTTGTTTCAGCACTCACTCCTTTACCCACATCATTTCTTCTATTTAAACTCAGCAGCCAAGGGGAGGGCGCAGAGAAGACGGAGCCAAACTCTTCTCAGAGGCGCACGGTGGAAGGAGGAGCAGCGGTAGGCAGAAATTTAGACGAGGGAGATTCAGATTAGGTGTTACAAGACGTTTTTTTCACTGTGAGTATAGCCAAACAGTATTGGAACAGGTCGTCCAGGGAGGCTGTGAAACCTCTGTGCTGGGAGATGTGGCAGACTTGACCGGGCAAGACTCTTGAGGGAGCTGCTGGAAGTTAGCCCTGCTTTGAGGAGGAAGGCAGGGCTGGGACCCAAAGGCCTCCCTCCCACCTTCCCTTCTTCTGGGCTTCGCTGTCACTCCCCAGGAGTATAAAATATTGCCTCACCGTGGGCTGCACCGCATCATACAAAAGAAGGGATAGAGAGTTTTATCCTACTGGTGCATTTCCACTTACATTTATCAATGGTTAATCCATGAAATAACATCTTGTCTGCCACGGTCTGTGGAGAATCCAGCTGCTCCCCATGCGTGAGTGCAGCCTCCACGATCCTCTTTCCATTAGACTATGCCAAGCTGTATTTTTGTTACCTTTTTTTTAAGTATTATCATGTAAAAATGGGCAGCTTTAATGGGCTTCCTAGTTCATATCAGTTAAGCTTTTGAAACATATTCAGGTATCTTTTCAATACTGCTGTGTAAGTTCCTTATTTAATCTGACATACTCTGATCTATTATTTTACTGCAGTTATCTAAGGCAGTACTTAAAAAAACAAACCAGAGCATTAATTTTTTGCAGACTGTCAGCTATGTTAAGCTCCAGCTCTACTTAGTTTTTTTGTCAATGTATTTAACCCTTCTCCCCCTCGGATCTATGGTTAAATGTTTTCATTATTTTTATATTTCAGTGAAGCTTATTTATTTTAACCTTCTTGTTATCTTTGCAGTCAGACGCAATATCATTGGCTATGAAACTGTGAAACTAATTAGAAATGAAAAATGAAGCTAGATCTGTTCGTTTTACTACTGGTTGTACAATACAGAAAGTAGCAGCATTAAAGAATAACCATTGTAATTAGGCAGTCTGGGGTGGGGGGAGGAATCACAGCACTACAGCTGAGAAACTTCTTGGAAATGAGTTTTAACCTGATGATGTTACTTCACTGGTTCCCCATGTGGTCCAAAAATTTGGTCCCCATTTGGTCCAAAAGGTGTTTTGAGACTGAGAGGTGTGTCTGGGGTCCATTCAGTCACCTACATGTCTAGGGCATTGGTTTGATGTGGGAGTTTGTGCTCCTGGGATGCTGTTTTCTTTGAGTTTCCATGTCTAAGGGAACTCTATGGATTACTGTGAAGCTTTTATTTTATACTTCATTGAGTGTAGCTCGGTAACTGAACGCAACTCTTGGCAGTGAGGAGGAGGAAGGTGGAGGCTGACAGCTGCAGGTTACACCAGCAAAGGTGGGTAGTGCAGTTCTCCTGCCGACAGCTTTGAGTTTGGCAAGAGGCGTGAAGCCTCGTCACCCCTGCAGCTGTCCCCGTTCCACGGGGCGCTGTCAGTCAGACAGAGTCAAGGTGAATTAGTCCTAAATTTGGTCTGTAAAAACACAGGGATGGTGTTTTTATGCACAGGCTGTCAGTGGTGTATGTGTTTGCGGGCTGAGGGCAAACTGGATCTCTGCTGGAGATACAGGGAATGATGCTGTGTGTGGTTCTCTCAAGTGTTAGAAGGTTTCCCAAGCCAGGGTTCTGCTGATCTGGTTTGCAGGTGAATTTGGAATGGAGAACAGAATTCTGTCATACCCTTTGCTTAAGACTAGTTCCTTTTGGCTCCCCTGAAGTTCTTGCCTGGGCAGAAAGCTGATGTGTGACAGCTTCCACGGCTGCCTTGTCACAGGGCAAGTAACTGTGAGAAATACTTGGAAGCAAAAGGCGAGTGTTGTCATTCAACTAACACATTTCTTTAGTGTTTGTGCATGTCACATTGCTGACAGTTAGGACAGGCCAAGGGATGCAAGAGTAATCCTTCTCGGTAGCAAGACAGGGACTTTTCTGCATAAGCTTTATTAAAAGCTAAGTTAGAAAGAGAATAATCTGCAGCTGTATGTTCTTGTGTTCCTCACCTTGTGCCCCAGGCGTACAGGGAGGGGTAGCAAAGGACGAGAGAAGACTGTATCAGAGGTTAGCTCAGAGAAATGAAAGCAAACTAGTCAACTAGTCGCTTCTCGGCCTTTTGGCTAAGATCAAGTGTAGTATCTGTGAAAGTACTGCTTTTGTCTGAAAAGGGAAGGGAACGGATGCAGTTTTCCCCTAAGCCTCTGGTATCTTAAACGCTAGCTGAAGCTCCCACAACCTGTGCCCTAGTTGTCCCCAAATCTGCCCTCTGTCCCTTCCTTTCCCTGGTGTCCCCTCCCCTCTTTCCTGTACAACACTGTGAATATAACACCCGTAGTTCTTTTTAACCTTTCCATTAAAACTGCTCAGAGCACAAAACGCTGTCCTGTGCCGTCACGCAGTGATGCTGTGACCGAGGGCCTTGTTCAGCTGAACCATGACCCCCAAACAGGGCACTGAGGACTGAGCACTTCCTCGCAGAGCAGTGCAAGAGTATCGTACCAAGAGTTAACAACCTAAGTGGCTTTGTATAGCAATTTGCTCATCAAATTTGATTTCGTAATGAACTAAACTGACAATCAACTCCTAAAAAGATAAAAGCCTCTTAGAGGGAATGGTCAAGTATGTCTTTAACAGAAAGATTTAACTGGGATAACTTTTAATAAAGAGCACAGGATTTTTTTTTTTTCCTTTTCCCCTTTTTTTTTTTTCTTTTCTTTTGAGCAATCACTCCAGAAATTGAGTTGCATTAAAGCAGCAGAAGATTGACAGGACAGTAACTACCTCTCTCTCTTGGAGTGCTGAGGTTACCACACTACACACTCTATCAGCAAAGCTTTCATTAAAACAGATTTGTTTTCCTTACCTCTATGTTTCAGAAATGCAGGTCTGCTCTGTAAAGTGACTCTTACTGAAAATGGCATCTGGCAGGAGCAGGGGGAAACCTTTCGGGATCTGCCGTCCCTCTTTGCTGCCAGTTTCTCGCTGTGACCCTTGTGGGTTCGCTCTGGGGCTGTGACAGATGAGGGTGGATTCGTTACTTCACGTATTCTGCGTGTCCTGCTGGCCAGAGCAGCGAGGCTGCGGGCTCAACTTCCTGCACTGGGAAATTAGTTAACAGTGTGGAAGGTCAGAGGAGAATCCATCGAGAGAGATGTCCAAAGGAGCAGGCAGCAGTAAAAAAAGCAATAAAATACAATAAAAAAATAAAACACTTTTATATGTCAGTCATTAGTCAGCAGATCTGACTCTGCAAGTTTATCTATGTATATATACACATCTACAGAGAGCAGATCTCTCACGTGAAAAGGTGCCATTTCTTTTTTTTCTAAACAGAGTCCCTTTCCAAACTAGAACAGCACTTTAAATAGGTTCCTCTTTAAAAAAAATAATAAAAAAAAAATATTAAAAAAAAGATAAACCCTTTACTGAAGAAATGCACTTTAAATCATAAGATGAGTATGGCTGTCGCTGGCTTTTGACACAGCTGTACAGGTAGGTGGCTTCTTGTCAGCCAGAGCCCCAGGAGGGAGCGATGCTGCCGGACCCTGGGTTGCCATCGGCACCCGAAAACTACCACAGCTCTACCTCCCGCTCCCGCTGCCCTCCCGGCCTGGCGCTGCCCCTGCCCACACACCGACAGGAGCTTCCACCGCCACCCTGGTTGCAGCTCAGCCGTGCTGTAGCACCAACAGGACTGGCAGGTGTCAGCCTGTTCAAGTACTTTTGTCATCAGTCAAGAAAAACCCACCCTCTCTTGTAAAGAATATTTCAACCCCAGTTGTGACACAGCGGGTGGCCCATAAAGCCACGACAAGGTTCTTACTGGGGTTGTGGGGTTTTTTTCCATCACGTGGATATGGAGCTCTAGTCAGTTCAGTTTGTTGTGTTTTGGTTTGGTTTTTAGTTTTTTTTATCCAAGTTTGTCTGTCCCACATTGACTCTGCTCCGAGCTGGTTTGCAGAGTAACCATTTGTCAGAAGAATTGTGCTGTCACCTTCAGCCATTGACCTATAAATCAAACTTTTTAGGACAGGTGTCCTAACACTCAAGACTTACTTTCACAGTTAAGAAGTTTCCTGCTGTACTAATTATTCTTTTTTTTTGGGGGGGGGTTGCAATCCTTATTTCAAGGAAAAAAAAATAAAAGTCAGTGTTCAGACTAGTCTGCAGTAGGTTGAAGCGTGAGCCTGCTGTGTGTAACTTGTGAATATCAGACTGTTCGTAAATGATTTCACAAGCTGTTCCCAAGCCGGTCCTCCACCATCACTTCCCTTTTCCTCTTCCAGCAGCAGCTCCTTGGAGAGGCCACAGGCTTGTGTGGCCGATGGCATACAGGGACAGCCAGTACTGCTGGAGCAAGGGGGACAGGCAAGAGTGGTGAGAGAACCAGAGCTGGGGAAGAGGGGAAATAAAACTAAGGTAGAGGGGAGTGGACAATTGCATTGAAAGCAGTTTAGCAAAAAGCGCTCTCGTTGGACAGCTTTAAGAACAATGTGAATGAAAACTTTTAGCAACTTGGGTAGGAATCTTTGAAAATTCTATAAATGTATACTTGAAATTCTGTTTGTATTAAAACAAAACAAAACAAACAAAAAAATGAATCGCATTTTCTTCTTTCTTTTAACACTGTGTAAAAGAACATTATGCATGTGAGTGGTTTGAGAATTAAATGGTTTAATACTCAGCTCCTTGTCTGTGTCTTGTAGCTGACTGGGTTGTTCTGACGTTGATGTTCTCTGAAAATCCACCACGCTGTGAGAGCCTGGTCCCTGCTGCATGCAGCTCTGCTTCACAATATGGGGGAGGCTGGGCTGTCCAGGCTGCTTCTCCTGGCCTCTTAGATGACTTCTGTCCTTTTTTTATGAGCTTTGTCTCATCACTTCTGCAAGCTCAGCCCTTTTCAGTCTCACTACGCTCTCGCTGCCAGCCGACCACCCGGTGCCTGTTGCAGCTTTCCTGGCTGCCAATGGTGGGTGAAGTGGTTTGGTTCCATGCCAGGCTAGAAGGACCTGGGCATTGCCTCAGCTCTCCCCTTGCACCCACCTCCAGAGCCCAGAGTACAAGCGCAAAGGCAGAGGTCACAGGAGGAGATAGTCAGTTTCTGGAGCTGCACAAAGAGGTAAGCAAGCAGAAGACAGGGTCCAGCAAGAAAAACACAGTGGTGAGTGCCAGAGTAGGCCAGGGGAGGAAGAGCTGCTTTCTGAACTCCTAGTGATTTCCAAAATGCTCCCCCTCTTCTTTCAGAGCCCCAGCTTCTGCATTACATACACAGCTGCTTTCTGAGGTGTTACTCCAGGCAAGCATGTCAGCACAAAAAAGGATAACGAGGGGAATAGAAGGATAAAAGGATAGAACAAGGGATGACAAACTGGAAAAGGGGAGATTGAGATGAGATCTGAGGAAGAAATTCTTTGCTGCAAGGATGGTCAGACACTGGCCCAGGCTGCCCAGAGAAGCTGTGGCTGCTCCTCCCTGGAAGTGTTAAAGGCCAGGCTGGATGAGGCTTTGAGCAACCTGGTCTAGTGGAAGGTGTCCCTGCTGATGGCAGGGGGGTTGGAACTGGATGAGCTTTAAGGTCCCTTCCAACCCAAACCAGTATGATTCTTTAAGTGCTTTACAGGTCTCGTGTGTAAGGGACTGATTGCTACAACCCTGTGATACAACAGAGGAGGTGACTCTCCGTGTCCACACCACGCACCACTGGCACCACAGACAGAGATGCTCAACCCTTCCTACTGGGGAACAGGAGAGAGTCCTGCAAAACCGCTTCCAAAACTAGGGACTGAGTGACCAAACATCTTCTCACACCAGCTCTTCCAGTGCCTGGCAAATCTAGTTTAACTCCCTTATTGCCTGCCTTGCTCTGGCTGAGAGGAAGCCTTTATAAAGGCAGGTCTTTCACTGGTCCTACAAAACCCAGAGTAAATGGCACACTGGGGAGTGGCAGCTATTGGTGTTTGAGCAGCTGTCTGCACACAATGCTTCTGTAACATGGTTGTAAACACCTGCCCTAAACACAGAAATCTTAGAGGAAAGCTCACCACATTTTCTTCTGCATCTTGAAGACAACCCTGTCAGAGGTCCTACAGGAGCGTGGCCACCTTGGGTGGACCAGAGGTCAGATCACACGTGTAGCATGGCAGCAGGGCAGGACACCTCAGCTCTAGGAGTAAACTTGCAGGTGAAATAAGAGATTTTTAATGAAGTTATGGATATTGGTTCCCTTACCTGGGCATTGTCACAGTTCACAGACACCCTGGCTTTGAACTTTTAGCATGGAGCTGTTTTAAATCTCACTACTCAAAGACAAATTCTCAGCCTTGGCTGCACAAGGCTTTCACTAGTGACTGCTCAGCACTTGAACACGTGAGATACACCAGAGCTGTGGGCAAGCAGAGTGCTCCCGTGCTCGGCAGCTCTGCCACCTACCAGCGGTTCCACACAGAGCTGTTTCTGGCCCAGCTGGCACGTGCCATCTGGCTGCTGCTGTACCAATGACCCTTCCAGCATGGGGTTGTGCTGGTGGGACTGGGGCATGTGGGAAAGGGTCTGTCTGTGGAAAAAGGAAAGTTTAAGTAAGTCTAGGAAGTGGCTTAGTGAAAACTTTCCATTCAGAGATCAGTTTGTTACATACAGATCTAGAGGTTTTTAATGTACCAGGGGATCAGAGTTACAGTTTGAGGCCTGAGGGTTGGATATAAGAACAACAGCAATACTGGACTCAGATTTGGGTGCCACAAAATTATTGATGCTGGAAAAAATTCAGCTTCTCTTTGAATGAAGGACGGAGCAGGTGAGGGGCCCTCTGAGCCCCCTCACCTGACACAGCAAGGAGGAGCAGTAGCAGCCCAGCAGGGTACAGTCTCTCCCTGCAGCTTGCACCAAACTGTAAGACCAACCACCCCAGGAGCAGCCCGGGCTTTGTGGCAATGCCCTGCTGTCCCTTTTCCAGGGGCAGAGAAGGGAGAAGCGAGGCCCTGGCAGCCCCTTTAGGAGCAAGGATCAGCTATTCTGCCCATGAAGATGATGGTGTTGAGGGCAGCTTCCCGGATGAAAAGCAGGAAGGGCCTGTTGGCGTTGAAAATTATTCTGTTCATGGGGAAGGAACGGCCAGAGACAGTGACAGTGGTAGCAGCCGATGCCTCACTGCCTTCTTCATTCACCTGCCAACCAAAAGAGAAGGTGGGATTAAAATACGGACGT